TATTCAAAAAGTTCTCATTTTGCAAACTTTGTAAATTAGTGGAGAAGTATATTTTGAGATTTAGTGATATAAAAATTAAAATTACTCAAAAAGCATAAAAAAAATATAATTTAAAATCCTCCAGGTTCATATGATATTTTTTCAGTTTTCTTAACATTTGTTTGAGTATCCTTTTTTAATACTTTTTTTTTTTTTTTTTTTTTTAAATTGACTTTTATTTCTTGGGGTACCACCTTAAGAACAATTTAAATAATTGTATTTCATTTCATTTTATTGGTTCTGTTTTAAGCAACATTCTTGAACACATAGCCATAATATTGTAATTTTCTTTTAAAAAACTCACTTGAGACTTTTTTTTTTTTTTTTTTTTTTTTTTTTTTGATACTTACACTAGTCGACTATCTTACAGACAACTTATGAGTCTTATAGGATCGCATATAATCTTATACTATCCTACAGGATATCTTACAGGATTTGTAAGATTTTATTTGTCTTTCAAATCCTATAGGACCATAAGAAACCCTGTGATTACCCATAGGGTATCTTAAAGGATTCGTAAGATTTTATTTGTCTTGCAAATCCTATAAGATCATAAGAAATCCTGTGATTATCCTGTAGGGTATCATAAAGGATTCGTAAGATTTTCAATTTTTTAAATTTATTTTGAAAAATGAAAAACTTATCGGTGGTGGGTCTCGAAACCCGGATCACTAGACCATTAGTGCCTTACCATTTGCACTACACAACATTATAAATATAGAAATAAATAAAAATATATTATAATTACAAAATAATTAAAAACTGTTTCTATTGAATGTATACAAATAAAGATGTTGTAAAAAAATTAAATAATAACAAATAACTATATATATATATATATATATATATATATATATATATATATATATATATATATATATATATATATATATATATATATATATATATATATATATATATATATATATATATATATATATATATATATATATATATATATATATATATATATATATATATATATATATATATATATATATATATATATATATATATATATATATATATATATATATATATATATATATATATATATATATATATATATATATATATATATAAAATGCCGCCAAGAACTGTTTCGCCGCCCGGGACAGCAACATGATTGGCGTTCTTAATTATCGAAATTCTCCTATATTATCGGTAAAGGACCTTTGTTCCAAGGTACCTTCATTCTATTTGGTGCCCCTTAAAAATCTGCCACCCGGGACAATCTGTCCCTTACGTTAAAATTAAATTTTTACCAAAAAAAATCTAGTTGGATAAAAAATTTTTCTCGCCATCAGAGTGTAAATTAAATTGCGTGACTTTCTGAGTAAATTGAGTCGTAGAGTGACGTGATTTAAATCATTAGGCATTATGAATTGCGGGAAAATATATAGCACTCAAGTGCTATTTATTTTCCCGCAACTTATAATGCCTTCCAATAGCCCATTTAAACCACATCACTAGCGCATTTAGATCACGTCACAAGTCACAAAAATTAAGATATTAGATACAAAATTTAAATATTAGATTCTCAAACAGCATGTTCATTATAATGAACATGCTGTTTGAGAATCTAATATCTTTTTAGTTTGTGTTAGAGAAGTATATAAATAGTTGCTATATCATGATTATTTTATATTATGGATTTTATAAAAATTTTATAAACTTGGTAACATAAATATGCATAAAGTTTGTTGTATTAATAGTTATTATTGTATTTGAACTATACTCTAATTAACTAATAAAAATTAATAATAAAAAAGGTTATATATTTATTTTACATATTATATATATATATATATATATATATATATATATATATATATATATATATATATATATATATATATATATATATATATATATATATATATATATATATATATATATATATATATATATATATATATATATCCATAGATTTGACTAATATGCTGACTAAGATTAGGCATTTCAAATGAATTGTTTTTGCTTAAATTCGCCTAATTATTTGGAGCAAGTAGCTAAAATTTCAAGTGTTTTTACTTTTTACTTAGTCATACTCTTTAAATAATTTAAATTTTTTGTCAGGGGGTAATAACCCCCTCCTCCCTTGTGTCTGCGATGGATTGAGGGGAAGGACGGGTTTTAAATTTTTAATTAATGATTATTTGCCTGATTTCGATGATTTTTTCCTAAACATTTTTATTTCTTATTATAAAACCACAGTTCCTAATGCAATAATACGAAATCTCAAAGAGCAACTTGTAACAGTTTTTGCCAATTACTCGCGAGCGTGCGTCAAACGAAGTCTTAATCAGAGGGGCCTAGATAGGAAGAAAAAACGAAAGTAATCAGCAATGTTATTGTGATTCTGTAATAATGATAATATGTGAAAAATTTCTTTTATACAGAATGATATTTTTTAAATAAGAAAATGTTTTTTTAAACTTTAACTTACCTATTATCAGTAATTAAAAAGCAGAATAGACTTTCCTTCCAATCAAAACAAAAACCTAACTTCGTATGTTCTTAGTTTGGTTATTAGATTTATGATATTAATTATAAAATAATAAATGTTATGGTTCCTATCATTGGCGTATTAAGACTTTTCAGGGCCCGGAGTCCTTTTTAACGTGCTACAGCATAAAAATGACTAAAACAGTAGAAAAAGAAAAAGGTCCGCTTAAAAGTTTCGGAGTCCCGAAATTTTAGGGCCCGAGCCCCCTCCTCTTTAATCTATTACTGGTTCCTATAGAAACCAGTGCTGGATTAAGGGGGAGGGCTACGGCCGTATATATACGAATCTAAAATTTTCCTTCAGCATCCTATAAGAATCCTGTTAATCCTGCAAGATCTTTTAAAATAATTTTGTAGATCTTATATTATCTTATAAGAATTCCTTCAAATCCAACAAGATCATTCAAAAGATTCTTAAAGGTCCTGCAGGGACTTGTGCATCTCATCCTATAGGATTCTTGTAGGATTTGTAAGATCAGTCGTCTAGTGTAGGTTCTAAATATAATTTTTATTTCAGTTTTTTTTCCAGTTTTTGTAGGATTGGTTTATTTTCTAATTTTAATCTAAAATTAATTTCAATTTGTTCTTACGATTCAATAATTTAACTTCTTGTTTCATTTTCTAATTTAGTTATTATTTTACTTCTATCAAATTTTTCAGCAATTTTTTTAAAGGTATAACTTATTAAGTATCATTATAAAAGTTCCAAGACTAGATAAAATATGGCAATTCAGCAAAATAAAAAATGGCAACGAGGTAAATGGTAAAATATATTGTTGCAGTGTATTAAAGCACTTTTTTTTTTGAGAAAATTTTTCAACAAGAGTTGTGCAAAATGTTTCTTTATTATTCTTGTCCTGTATTTAGATTTATACAACATGGATTATACAACAAGATTTTTTATTGATTATACATTTTTATTGATTATACATTTTTATTGATAATCCATTTTTATTGATTATACATGGATTATACAATAAGATTTTTTTACAATAAATTCAAGGTTCATTTTTATGTCCTTAAATGTATATATTCAGTATTCACTATTCATACAAGATTTATACAACATGGATTATACAACAAGATTTTTAAATAGAGAAATTTTTATGTTTTGCTGTAGTTCATATTGGGTAAATGAGGTTTGCAATAGTTTGCAGACCTGTTAGAGGTCGCCATCAGGTTAGCAAATAAGTTTGATACGAAAGTTATACCATAAAACATAGAAACAGGGTTGGCAACTTTTTGCTGATCTTATGCATTTCTAGTTCACCATTGCCAAATGCTAACTCTAATTCTAAGAGCTATCTTTCTTTAGCATTAATGCTACACAATCAACATGCATGGCTAAGTTTATTAACGACTCTCCAGATAATTATGCCAATTGTCAACCCAAGACATGCGTTGTAAATGGAATACCCCATCTTTTGTTATATGCAAAAAAAGATATTGCTAAAGACTCAGAACTTAGATATAACTATGGGGACAGTTCTAATCAACAATAGAGAAAATTGGTAAATATATTTACTTGCATTTTTTTTTCTTTTCAACATTTTTATATAAAGTAATTTGTTTATGAAGTGATAAATTAAATATTTTAGAAATTAATAGTTTTGTAAAGTATTATTGCAATTTTAAATTTAAAAAAATTCTAGGCAAAGTATCAGGAACCATTTACTATGAGTGAAGTTAATGCATATCTACGAGGACAGGTAATTGTTCAATTCTACTAGAAACATTGTAATCTTTTTAAATTTAAGTTTTCTTTTTTAAATTTAAGGTTGTTCCTGATATGGAAGGTTTTAAAATTCTACATAGAAGGATATATCTGTTTATTTTTTAGAGAATATTTTATTTACATTGTATTTCTTTTTAAATTTTTGTATTAAAGCCTTTGCAGAAAAATCAAATTCTAACAGCATCAATGGCAAGTTTTTTTCTTTATATACAATTTTTGCTTACAGTTTTATAAAATTACACTGAGAGTTAACACACAAAATTTGCTATTAACAGTGATCTATTCCTATCATCTGGTTTTTTATCACAAAACTTATACTGAAAATCTTTTTAACAAAATTTGCCAAAGATAAACTAAAAAATGAAGTAAAAATGCTAAATTTTATCTTTAAAATGTTTTAAGATGATCTAAAAGCTGTTTTTGAAATAAATAAAGCTAAAGATTTTTTTCGTCAATAAAATAGATTTTTTATATAAAATAGTTTTTTTTTATTTAAGTGATATTATTATTCAAAATTAAATTAGTTTTGATCAAGCTTAACCATGTTTTTTATCTTTACCAAAATAATAATAATTCTATAATAATTTTTCAGATATTTATACAAATTATATGATAATTTACTGTAGTTAATAGAAAATGATTAAAATATAATTATACAAGTAAGAATTATATTGATTTTCAAATAAATATGTGTTATTAAAATACTGTTTTATTTGTAGTTGTTTTCATCATTTAATAATGAAAAGTCTGAGTTGAAAAAGGTTTGGTTTATTTGTATTTAAAGGAATTATTTTTTTATTCTTTATTGCTTTAAAAGTTTATGAATATTTTATTTACTATTTATGTTTTTTCTTAGGTTTAGTTCATTTTTTCAGATGTAATTAAAATGATTGTTAGAACTTGGTATATTTCCACTCTGTAGATAAATTATAGAGTCACTCAAACTAGATCTAAGGCCAGGTAAATAAAAAAAGCAATTGTTTTTTCTTAGTAATTGGTCAGCTTTATGTGAATAAATACTTTAGCAATTTTGCTCATACTTTTATTCACATAACGCAGAACCGTTTATAGTGTAAATTGCTTAGCTTTACGTAAATAAAATTTAAGCAAATTTGCTAAATTTTTTTTTTCTTGTAAAGATAAACAGTAACTTCAAAAACTCTAATTAAAAGCAATTGCTTTTTTTTTTAAATTGATACACTTATTATATAGCTATAAGTCAATATTGTATGTATTTTACAAAGCTTTTAAAAGTTCTACTTAACATTACTCTCTAATTTTGATTTTTTTTCTTTTTCAAGAACATGATTAAAATGTCTAAAACATGTGTTGAAACAAAAATAAGTTTTACAGACATTTAAAACTTTTTTTTTTTGGATTTAAATTCGTTTCCAACAAGGCTGCAAGAAACCTCTAATAAGTTGGGAGTTACTAGAATAACAAAAGATAGATTTAAAGAGCAGAGAAACAATTGACAAAAGACTTGAAAAGTTTTAGGTTGTATGAATCTCGACAGATACAGTAAAAGAAGGCGTTTTATACCGATTTGGTAAAAAAATGTTTGTATAATTATTATTATTATTGTAATTCTTATATTTAAAAAAATTCCTAATGCATTTTTGTTTGTTATTTTAAGGTTTATGTTTTGTTAAGAAAGTTATCTATAACTATAAAATTGCTAAAAAGCAGTTACTCATACTCAAAATTGATTATTGACATATTTTGTATATTTTTTTATTTTGTATCTTTTAAAGCTCTTATTTTTCTAATTGAATTTTAATGTTTTTATTTTATCCAATGTTTCGAAACAAAAGTTATTTATTTGGTATATGATTTAATTTGTTTTAAGTTTTTAATATTTTAACATTCACCCTAGCTAAGTATTTTGTTAAATTTATATTTTGTTAATTTTTATTAAGTTTTTTTTTGACTTTTAGGATTTATATAGTTGCATTTTGTCATCTAATCAAATGAAAATCAATAATTTCAAAAAATGGTAAGGAAATATTTATAATGAATATTAAATCTAATGTTCTGTTTAATAAATTTAAATGTTGAGTTAATAGGTTATTTAATGAATAATAATATTCAAAAATTTTCAAAATTTCTATATAAATTCTAGTAAGGAAGATTTACCTGAAAAAAGTAATAAAGATACAATTTCAGGAGGCTTATCACAAGCATTGTAAGTTAACTGTTTTTTTGGTTATATGTTTTTTTTACAATTTTTACCTTGATTAGTGCATATCAATTAAGTGTTTTTAATTTTGGTTTGTAGTGGTTTTGAGAAGTGTACTGAGTTAGAAGAACAATATAATCAAGCATTAAAGTATGGAATAACCATATTATAATTAGTAATGTGAACTTTTTAACAAAAACAAATATTTGTGTATTTATTTAATATTTCTGTTTATAGTAAGTCCTATTTAAGTTTCAGCAATGAAGATATTTTAATACCAGATGAAACATTTTTAAAAAACTCATCTCAGTTATAGTAAGTTATTTAGTTTTTGCACAATTACTTTGGATTTAAAATTAAAATGATTCATTCGTAAACTTTGTCCAGATTTGTGCTTATTAGTTAAATGTTTTTAAGTTTTGGTTTGTAGTAGTTTAGAAGAAAGTGCTTGTGAAAATAACTCTGAAAATTTGTTTTCAAATTCAGTTAACAGGTTAGAGTTGTTTTAATCACAAAAGCAAAGTTGAATTTTTTTATTTGTTTTTTCCAAATTATTAAATTTAAACTTTAAGCTTAATTTTTAGTAAAAAAAGTTTTACCTCAAATCATAGTTGCTGCCAGATGCTTGACAGATATATCAAAAAGAAAGTAAGTTAAAGTTTTTATTCTAATAACACTTTTCCAGTTTATTTAGTTTTTCTTTGTAAGTTGATGCTTCTTGTTTTTTAAAGCAAATACTATTTTGAAAAACGTTTCAAGTTCAAAAGTAGATGGATGTCAAGAATAAATCTTTTTTAAAATTGAAATTTTTCTTTTTATGATGGTTTATAGCAATTCTGAAATCAATAATTTGACAAATGCTAATGAAACTCCACTTATAACGTAAGTTTATTGTTTAGTTATACTTTTTGATAAAGAAAATAAAAGCAACAGAAATATGATTGTTGACAAACTGATTTTCATTTTATGAACAATAAAACATGGATAAGGCTGGTTTTCTAAATAAATTTTTTTTTAAGATTTAATATTCATACTTAAAAATTTTAATATTTATAAATATAGTAATAAATAAAAGATTCTTTTTCAAATGTTTGGTTTGTAGATGCTTGGAACAGAGCGCTGAATTTTGTAATTCAAATAATAAATTATTAAAGTATGTAACTTTGCTTGTAATCTTTTAAAATCAAATTTTTTTAATTTAAAAATTTTTCAGAAGTTTATACCTGATTGATTGTGGTTTATCGTTTTTTTGTATTTTGTTTATAGTGGGTTAGAAGAGAGCACTGTGATTGATTGGGCATGTAGCCAACATTTAATGTAAGAATGCTGCTTTTCTCTTTCAAATAACATAATAATTAAAAATTATGTTTTTTTTATTAAATTTTAATTGTTAATATGAGATATGCACTAATTCCTGTAAGATATTTAGCTTTGAAGACTCAACAAAAATGGTTAATGAAGATACAATATTAGCAGATATATTTCACATAAAGTAAGTTTAAAAAATGTTAAATACAACAAAGCAAAAGTAACTTATCTAAACTGATTAAATGTTGTGTGTACTTATTAAGTTTTTTTTACTTGATTTGTAGTGCTTTAGAGCAGTGCACTAAGTTTGATGGACAAAGTAGTCTTAAAGTATTAAAGTATGTGATTCACAAAATAGCTTAATTACTTCCTAAAATTTTAATAATTAATATTTTAATATAATAATAATTAACTATAAATATGTATTAAATATTTCTGTTTACATCAGTATTTTTTAAATTTCAGCGACCAAAACAATAAAATACAATGTAATAGAGAAATACTTACCGAAAATTCTTCACAAATATAGTAAGTTGTTTATTTTTTACTATCTCTGTTAATTTGATTTAATATAAAATATGACATTTTCTCATTAAACTTTATGCCCTGGTTTATGCATATTAGTTAAAAGTTGTTAGTTTTGTTTTGTAGTGGTTTAGTAGGAAGTACTTTTGAAAATAGTGCTAAAAGTTTGTTTTTAAAGTAAGTTTATAGATAGTGGGTAGTTTACTGCTTAGTTTTTTTTTTATTCAAAGTTATTGGTTATTAAACAGAAATAAAGAAGTTTTTAAACTATTTTCAATTCTGAGTCAAAATTTCCAATAATTTGACTTAATTTTATATTAGATTTGAAAATAAGAAAGTTTGTCCTTTTTGTCATGAGTCAAAAGTAAAAATAACAGATCACATAAACCGAGTACATAAACGTCCAATTGAAATTAGCAAAAGTGTTGTTTGTTTATATAACTTGAGAAAGGTGTGTGAAAAAAAAGGAACTAAATTAAAATCTAAAAATTACCATACAAAAAAAATGTGCCCTATACCAAATTGTTTCAAAATAACAAAAAATGTTGGAGAACACTTAAAAGGTAAAATGCATAATTTAAAACCTGGTCCTGAACATTATATGCTTCTAAAAAGTGCTAAGAGTTATAAATTACAAGATCCTTCTAAGTCACCAAGTAAAATTAAAGAAAAATACAAATCATTTTCTCCTGCAACTATATCAACTGTTACAAAAGATCAGCTACAAGTGGACTTTAATATTCGAACTCAAATAGCTACTGATCCATTTGAAAGAGAAGAAATAATAAAGTCTGACTCAAAAGAAGAAGAATTAAGAAAGACTGATCAAGTTTTAAGCAGCCATTTATCTACTGAATCTAATGAACCATCAGTTGTTGATTTTGTTACTTTTAATAATAAAAATTAAATTGGTGATATTCAAAGTGATGCTTTTGATGAAGATGATTATAATGATGATGAAGGTAATTATATACCCTATGAGCAAGAAAGCGATGAAGAAACATTAAAAAAACTTTCTACATCTATTGAAGATTTGTTAAATGATTTTTATCATTATCTTACAGGACCTGATAGAGCTAGAAAAAGTAGATCTATTGAAAGGGTTAAAAATGACGTTAAAAGAATTTTTTTGGCTGTTGGTTTAACAAATTCAATAAAATTATTGTTTGAAAATGACACAGATGTGATAAGAAAAAAATATCTTCAAGTATATTGTGTAAACAGAAAGTTAGAAGCTGGTTCAATTAAAACATACTTAAACTCTTTAAAAGATTTTTGTTTATATCTTATAAAATCAAAGTATCGTGGATTTTACCTATCTTTTGAAACTATATTTCAAACTATTTTAAATATTAATAATTGGAAAAAAAGTTACCGTGCTAAAGACAGTATAAGAAAACATAATAGAGCTGAAGATGACTTTTTAATGCTTGTTACCCCTGAACAGGTAAAGTAATATAAGCAGAGCAAAAGTGCATCAACTGCAAAAAAATTACTTGAGGATTTGAAAAACAATCCGAATAAAGAATTAACTATGTTTGTTGTTATAGGGACCATGTCTTTTTTATTATTCACTTTGCCAGTGCCCATAGATCTGGTGTAACAGCAAATATGACTATGGAAGAATTTTTTAAAATGAAAGTTTTTAAAGATGGCATGAAGATGAAAAATGTATGGGCTCATAAAACTGTTTCAATATATGGTCCAGCAAGAGTGACTTTAAATTCTATTGAATTTGAATGGATTGAAGTTTTTGTGAATCATGTTAGAACAAAATTACCTGCTATTCATTCAAATAAAGTATTTTTATCATGGTTTGGGAAAGAAATGTCTTCTGGGGATATAAGTGGAAGATTACATTCGCTTTGAGTGAAAGCTGGTAATTTTGATGGGCGCTTTGTACCCAAAAAGCTCTCTGCTAACATTGTCAGAAAAACAACTCCCACATTAGTTCGTAATAGCGAGTTTTATAAAGATAGAGGTGTTGTGGCTGACTCAATGATGCACAGTGAACTAACTGCTGCCACTCATTATCATACCAGATGTCAAGAGCCTAATGCAATTACTGGTGGCAATATTGTGCGCAAAAATTTTTGTCGTTCCCCACTAACTAAAACAGACGAAGTTGATAAAAGTAGTTTAACTGAGGAAAAAAATGATCAGCTTCTTACGTCAGAGAACCTCTTAAGTAAAAACGATTTTAGTTTTTCTTTGATGAATACTCCTAAAAAAATCTGGAGTAAGGAAGAAACAAGTTCTTTAGATTTATTATTTCCTGATAATAAATCTCAAAATATATCGTATAACCAAGTAAAATCAATGCTTTCCAAATCTCCTTCAATTAACAGTTCACTTAGACAAGTTTATGACAAGCTGAAAAGAATGAAAAGAAAATATCTGGAAGATATGCCAGAAGAATCAAAGGTTTTTTTCTTTTAATTTTTAGTGGTTCGGTTTTAAGTCTTTTTTTCTTTTTTTTTCTTCTTAATTTTGCTTCGTAACTTTTCAAAATAATTATAATCTTATATATTGTTTAAATTTAATTTTTTTTCATACTAGGTTAAGAAAAATTTGCAGTTTGAACGCAAAAGTTGGTCTTCTGAACAGATAAACGAGTTGAAAGTTAATGGAAAAGAATTAATTTTGGGAGGACCTTTATCACGAAGCCGAGTTTTAAGTGTCCTAAAAAACCCTAAATTATTAAAAGATTTTACTATCACACAGTTGAGGACACGAATTAATCATGAACGAAATTAAACTTAGCTGTTTCTTGACTATAACTTATAAATAAACAGTTATTATTTTTTAATTTTTAAGTATTTAAATAAACATTCCAGCTTTGTTATTTCTTATATTAGGTTCATTTTTTCAATATTAAGCTTAACCTTTATGATTACTAACGTGTGGCTTGGAAATGTTTCCATAAAGCCATTTCCTTATTTAAATACGCCACTATGAAGAAATAGTTGAATCAGTTTTTATAACCAGATGTCTTTCATGGCATTAACCTGTTATAATGATCGGGACTAAGTATTTTTAATGTGATGCACTAGGTATACTATCATACAAGGTTTGCAAGTTCCTTTAACTTTTCCCCACAAATAAATCAAGGGGTTTTATATCATAGCTTTCTTTGTTCTAGAAAAGTTGTCTTTACCACAATTAAAGAGCTTTACCTGCCATAATCAAGTATCAGTTTAACTTCATTACAAGAACAAGGATTGGTTCATATATATTAAATATTATATTGCTTACATTCAATCATTAACAATATGATAAAATTTGAAAAAGTAGTTTTTACAAAAATGGGCAGAATTTTTAAATCATCATATATGGAGACAATTTAAACTTAGATTAAGGTTTATTACTCTGTTAATTTGAAACTAATGACATATTCTCTTAAATTATTTCAATCGAAAAAGATAATTTTCTCAAAAATAAGAACACATGATAAAAGTG